TTGGAGCAAAGTGGTGGGAACCTTTGGGCAACCTTGGAGCAAAGCTGCGGAACCTTGGAGCAAAGTAGTGGGAACGTTGTGGAACAAAGTTGTGGGAACCTTGTGGTTGGGAACCTTGGGGGAACCTTGTGGGTCAAAGTTGTGGGGGCCTTGTGGAACAAAGTTGTGGGAACCCTGTGGGAACCTTGGAGCAAAGCTGTGGGAACCTTGGGAACCTTGGGGGAAACTTGTGGGGCAAAGTTGCGCAACAAAGTTGTGGGCACCTTCGGAACCTTGTGGGGCAGAGTTGTGGGAACCTTGTGGGAACCTTGGAGCAAAGGTGTGGGAACCTTGGAGCAAAGTTGTGGGGACGTTGTGGAACAAAGTTGTGGGAACCTTGTGGGGACCTTGTGGGAACCTTGTGCTTGGGAATGTTGGGGGAACCTTGTGGGTCAAAGTTGTGGGGGCCTTGTGGAACAAAGTTGTGGGAACCCTGTGAAAACCTTGGAGCAAAGCTGTGGGAACCTTGGGAACCTTGGGGGAACCTTGTGGGGCAAAGTTGTGGGAACCTTGTGGAAACCTTGGAGCAAAGCTGTGAACCTTGGGAACCTTGCGAACCTTGGCAGAACCTTGTGGGGCAGAGTTGCGCGACAAAGTTGTGGGCACCTTCGGAACCTTGTGGGGCAAAGTTGTGGGGACCTTGTGGGAACCTTGGAGCAAACTTGTGGGAACCTTGGGAACCTTGGGGGGGCCTTGTGGGAACCTTGTGGGGCAAAGTTGTGGGCAACTTGATTCCAGTTTGGTCCTTGTTTGGGGAGCTCACTTCAAATCATCATCTACTCTAGACCACACAGAGAAGTCCTGGTCAGCTCGTCTCAGCTTCTGTCGTCTCTGAGGTGAGTTGCAGCTCAGGCGAAGAATCATGTTCCAGCGGACCTTCTGCTGACATGTCAGGTGCCTCCATGACTGATCGAAAGTGGTCTCCGGAGGAGCAGGAGGACCCAGCAAATACACGGTGAACTGCCCAGCAGAATTGGTCTCCAGCGGAACCTTGACTTCCTCATCAAACAGGGTCAATTCAGACTTGTCAAAATCTAATTTGGCCTGCAGGGTCTTCAGGGCTCGCCTGGAAGTCAACAGAGCGTGACCTTTCACCCTGCTTTGATCACTCCATGGCGGCCTCCAAGGATCACAGGCGTAGGAATACGAGCTCCATTGCCAAAACGGAAATGATTGACCTCCGAAATAGGTGTGGGATCTTCGAAGTCATGGCTCGACCACAGAGCTCGGAACTCCTTAAGTGTTTCTTCGCCAACAATGGAGCGACCACATCCAGAATCCAAGATTCCATATCCAGGACTGGACACTAGCAGCTGCTCTGTTGACAAGGTAGCGGAAGATGCTGCTCCCACATCCGGGTGTTTTCAGTGCGTCGTAGTTTGCACTCCCAGACTTGATCGACCATAGAGGGCTGTGCAATGACCATGGCAACAAAATGTTCCACCACAGCAGCGCCTGATTCACCATGCGAAGAGCTCGATTTGCCGGAACTCTTCCCCTTTCCTTTTCCACCTTTGCCAGCGCTCCGACATTCTTTGGACCAATGGCCGACTTGGCCGCATTTGTGACAACGTGTGCGTCGTTTAAGCTCCTCGACCTCGACCCAAAACTGTCTCTTCAGTTGGCCAGCATCGTGGAACTTACGATCTTTTTGAAGACGGGCTAGGGATTGACGTTTCTCCTTCCAGGTCACTGCCAGAGTCTCTTTGATGTCGCGCTCATCGAATATATCCTCCAAGTCACCTGGTTCCGACGCAACATCATCCGCCAGGAAGAGCTCGACATCCTCGAAGGAAACCTCAGCAGCGTCGCCAAGGTCAGTTTCCAGGTTTTCCACCAGCAGGGTCTTTCCGGAGACCAGGGCCGCACCAGACGCAAATCGGCGTTTCGGGGCTGAGAAACTTGCATAGCAGCTCCTCAAAGCCTTGCCAATCTCTTCACGTTTGAGGACTCCCAGCGACCGGGCTAGCGCCGCAGCGACCTGCTCCGGATTCAATCCAGAACGATGCAAAATCAACCGCCCTTGGGCTTCTTCCGGAAAAGCGACATTGGTTTTTCTCTGATGGTTGTCGAAGACCTCCGAAGCTCGTCCAACCCAAGCTTTCAGTGATTCTCCTTCTTCAGCTCGAAGCTCGAAGATCTTGGTGAGGTTTTCCCTGAGCTCGTCCGATGCTTCTTTCTGGGGGAATCGACGGTCCAGAATTTCAAGCAACACCTTCTCTCCGCCCTCCTTCTGGTAGGCAGAGGTCTCGAGGTGCTCCACGGTTTCCAGCTTTGCCTCCCAACAAGGTGTATACATAGGCCCCACGAGCCGTGGCAGGGATCTTGTCGCTCAGCGTCATCAATTTATTGACAGTCCACAACTTCCATCTCTTGTACTCCTTGGAGTTCTCGTCATCACCTGAAAAGGTGCGGTCCACCAAGGGAGCAGAAGCAGACATGGCGTATCCTACGGCTCCAGGCCCTTTCGCCTGGCTCCGCTACCAATCACAAAACACCCTCCTGGGTATCCCTCCCTGGGGAACACGCGGGCTTTTTCCACGCAGACTCGAGAGTCAAGAAATGCATTGCAGGAACGAAGTGCATGAACGAACATGGAAGGCTGCAGACATGGCGGTTTTGACATGTATATATATATATATATATATACGAGCTCCACCCAAAACCAACGTTTTCAGACAAATTCCTTGCTTGTATGTGAGAGTTGCCCTTGATTTCAGATGGTACAACACTGCAGTGCATGAGCTGAAACCATGAACGTAGCAATGGTAGATTTTTGTATCTTGTCAGCACGCGGAAGAATTTGCTAGGCCAGATGGAGCAGAGATTTCAAAGTCCCTGGCAGGCTCAAAACGATCAAACATTTCAAAAGTCCATAGTCACAAAACCCTGGCAGGCTCAAGCAAATCAAAAAACAAAAGTTTTAGCATCAAAAGGGGCATTTTTCGGGGGTATAAACTGTTGTAATTTTTGAGCCTGCCAAGGATTTTGCAATTTTTGGTCTACCCGACCTTGCAAAACACTGGCAGGCTCAAGCAAATCAAACATATACGACCCCAGAGTCCCCATAGATCCTCCAACTTTTGTGTTTTTTGTTGTTTTGAGCCTGCCAGGGTCTTGTGACTATGGACATTTGAAATGTTTGATTTTTTGAGCCTGCCAGGGAATTTGCAGTATCATGTGCAGCAAAGGTTGGCAGGCTCCAAAACTAGACGACGGGTGGCCCGAGAGCGAGAAAAAGAAAAGATGTAGACGTTAGTGCGAGTACTAGTGGTACTAGTACTAGTAATTGTCGTTGTTGTAGTGGTCGTAGTAGAGTAGTAGCAGTAGCAGTTAGCAGTAGCAGCAGCAGCAGCAGGAGTAGTAGTAGTAGCAGCAGCAGCAGCAGCAGGAGTAGTAGTAGTAGTAGTAGTAGTAGTAGTAGGGGTAGTAGTAGTAGTAGTAGTAGTAGGGGTAGTAGAAGAAGAAGTAGTAGTAGTAGTGGTGGTAGTAGTAGTAGTAATACTGGTGGTAGTAGTACTGTAGTAGTAGTAGCAGTAGTAGAAGTAGTAGTAGCTTAGTAATACTAGTCCGGTCAGCTAAGCCTCTGTAAAACTTCTACTTACAACCTCTACCACATCCTAGAGACAAAAGCTGCAGCCCCGTTGTTGTTTTTTGGACCCCCCCTCAAAAGATGTTGTTGTCTCTACCCCCCTAGAAAGAACATCTGCAGCCCCGTTGTTGTTTTTTGACCCCCCCTCCAGAACAACGCACCAAAAAACATCAAAAAACAAGAAACCGCCAACCAAGACTTGAGTACCACAACGACTAACGACAAGAAGTCCAGCTACTAACATCTCTCCAAACCGTCGCCCCTTTCCCTAACAGTGTCCGTTAGAAATCCCTGACTTGCAACACGTGACAACTATGTTGGGCAGCTGTTTTTGTCTCTGCCAAAAACAACAGCAACAACAAACACAACCACAACGACAATGACAGCCACAGCGACAGCGACAACGACAATGACAACGACAACAACAACGACACACCACACCAGCGCCAGCGCCAGCACCAACAGCAACAGCAACAGCAACAGCGCCAGCAACACCAGCACCGCCGCCGCCACCACCAACAACAACGACAACAACAACAACACCAGCAAAAACAACAACAGCAACAACAACTGCAAACACAACAGCCACAAACACAACAACCACAAACACAGCCACAACACACAATCACAAATATACAGCCACAAACACAATCACAAGCACACAACCACAAACACACAACCGGAAACACGCAACCACAACACACAGCCACAACACACAACCACGACACACAAACACAGACACAACCACAAACACAACAGCAATCGCAAACCGCAAACACACAACCACAACTCACAGCCACAACACCACAAACACACAACCACACACAACCACAACACACAACCACAACACTCAAACACAACCACAAGCGCACAATTAAATTACAACAATATAGTTGCCTGTGAGGCCCTGGCACCCCGACGCGAACGCCCTAACACTTAAACAACAATCCCAAACCCGAGGACCCGCAAACAAAGCCGAAAGCCACAAAGCTCACGCCCATGGCAACATGCTCCGCACCATGGCATGAAAACAAAGGATTGAATTCTTATGGTGGGGGTCACTCGAAGTAATTTTGTTGTTTTATTGTATACTTAGCTACTTTTTTCTCTCGCTTTGTGTTTCTGAAGATAGACCGAAAACTCATTCTTTCGTCCTTGCTTCCTACACTTCCTTCAGATCTCACTTCAGTACACGACAGTCTTCCCAGGCACCAATGCGGATTGGAGTTCCACCTGGGCTTCAGACGCTAGCAGCTCAAGGCAGTAAGCAGCAAGGTTGAAAATTGTTGGTAAAGTTTCAATGAAGCTTGTGCTAAGGCCAGAAACTGTACCCGTAGGGATTCTCTCGAACATGCTTGTTTGAACCTGAGGGCTTGATTGTTTGAGTTGAATCACTTGAACTTTGCTGGGTTTGGCAGAGAAGTGCAGCTCTTGTCCTAGTCTGTCAATATTGGCCTGCTCGGGAGGACTCTTCAAGAAACACAACAACACACTGAAACCCTGGGTCGCTTGTGCAAAGGCCTCTGCCAGAGACCTCCCCAGGCAAGTTCGGCAAAGGCCTTATGATGAAACAATTTGGTTGACAACGCGTTTTGCAATTTGAAACTATCAAAAAGGCCAACAGCAGGTCTTCAGGAGTACTCCAAGGTACAAACCTTTGGATCCAGTGAGAAGCTCAGGTGGCCAGGTCTAGTTCAAGGTATTTCGGCGGATCTGAGGTTTCAACCCCGCAAACTTTGCCCATGGAGGCCGAGTCAAAATAGAAAAACTATTCGCATAGAATGCCGTATTCTTACTTTAATTGCATGCCTCGTTTTGTTAGCTTATTATTGGTGTTTCTTTTGCAAAGGTGCCTTCCGCACATTTGCTGGGACGTGTCGAAGAGTTCTATGATGAGTTGAGAGATGAGGTTTGGGATAACATTGTATGTCTAGTTGAAAGTTCTTTATCGAAGAAAAGCAGAACATCTTTGTTGGAGGAGCGTGCGTCCTCGAGTAGCAGCTCATCACGTTCCAGATCTAGAGAGCTTGGCTCTGAGAAGGGACAAACTCATTTCAGAGCTTTGTTTTTTTGGTGCTGCAAGGAGGGATGGCAGAGACTATCCAGGCCATTTTTATTCTACTAGAAATGGAGCAAAATCGATTGTTATGGATTTGTTCTGGCAGGGCAAACAGGAATGGGAGTGATGAGTGCAGTCCCTCCTCCTCCGCTATGTTGAGGGTACTATGTCGGGTGGAGACTGAAAGCAGGTCGCACCCCCAAGGGCCTTGAGCAAGACAAAATGAGTGCAATCAGCAGGTTCATGCTGCTTTGGAAGGAGAGAAGTTCAACAAGACCCCTTAATTTATTGCGTGAGACGGCTCAATTCAGCTTATCAGACAGCAAGTAAGTGCAGCGAGTGATGCCGCATAGAGAGTATAATGTAGGAAGGCATTGTATTTTGAGAATGCACATATGACCATCAGAACAACTCAGTGACCTTATTTACCTCACTACGAGGCCTTTTTTCTTGCGCCCTTGGTCTGGAGTGCTGTTTGGGCCCTGCATGAGCTGTGAGAGATGGAGCCCACAGGCTAAACTCATTCGGCCTTTGCGAATGAAGAGCCAGAAGAACTCAGACATTTACGAATTTTCTAAAGCAAGAAGCTACTAGTAGCGAGCGGCTACTAGTAACCAGGGCACTACCACTAGTAGCAAGAAGCTACTAGTAGCTTCTGGGCTTCTGTTTTCTTTGAGACGGAGGCGAAGAGCGCTTGGAAGCTGGAGTCGAGACAATCTTGGCTCTGCCAGACATTTGGATGCAATACAGATGACTTTTGGAAGCATTTCTACACCAAATTGTAGTCATTTTCCTCGTCATTGTAGTTTAGTAACATTTTTATTATGTAAATTTTCTGCTCTTTTTGTTGGGTCTACAGTGCCTGCTAGGTCTCCTCTGTGCAAAGCCATGAAGAATTGTTGCAACGAGCTCAGAAAGCATCCCTTCCTCCACTCCTTCTCAGTTGATTGGTTTGTCTTTTCACTTCAGCTGATTTGCAAAAATGTCTTTTCTGGCTCTTTTACTTCTCATGCATTTTGGTTCTGTTTGATTCTTTGCTTCAGTCAGCTTTACGCTGTGAGGGTGCGGGCCATTCAAACTGCGAGCGGCTCAGACCTCCCCAAAAGGCTGCGCGTCCGAGCGACTTGGCCACACTTGGGAGCGTTTTCGGATGTTCTTGCTTTTCTTTTTCTATTTAGGCGTGTATATGCCCATGCTATCACTAAAGCACGAGAGCAGTTGATCTCAAGCTTTCTGGGCTCAAGGGCGCATGCAGTGGGCCGTTGCTCTGGATTTCCTTCGGCAAGCCAGATTTTGGTGGCCTGCGAGTGGTCACTGCCAAGGTCCTTCGTGGGCTTTCCTGGCGCTCACCGCCATTGTGTTTGGCTGCTGCGGCCTTTGCGTTGGGGCCCTCTGCACCTTGGTGTGCCTCTCTGCTGCCTGTCGGCGCGCTTTGAGCGCCGTGATCCGCGCTGCTGCAACTACAGTGGTGGTGCCTGAAGCTGCTCCTCCCTTGGTGCTCTTGAGGCGCCGACTTGGGGAGTGCTCTCGGTGGCGCTGGGAGATGCCGGTGCATTTTGGTCGACTTGGTTTGGCCGGCCTATGGCAGCATACACTGTCCGTGCTCAGGCCACTCGAGCTTCGTCAGCCTACGAGGTCATCAGGTTCGTTCAAGGAGAGCAATTTTGTCGTCCTCGACGTTCCTCCGCCTTGGAAGCTGCAGAGGCCTGGATTACCGGTGTCATGGACGACGACACAGCCGGCGACTATGCCACCGGAGAAGAAGGGGAAGCCGAGATGATTCCGGATGTGCTTGCCTCTCCGTCTGTCGCTCCGGAGACCTCAGAACTCGAGTTCTTGCGACAAAGGGTGGCCGAGCTCGAGAAGCGGCAAAGTCGTGCCGAGGCAACCAAGGGGGTGTCAGCATCTACGCCACCTGCAACTCCAGGGCCAACATCCCAAGGGCTTCTGTTTGGAGGGAACCGTGCTCTGAGTGGCGATCGAGCGGCTTTGGAGAAGTTGAAGCAACTGGCCGGCGCAGCTCCGACTCGTTTGGGCGCTCACGAGCGCGATGCAAGAGCGCGGCGCCCGGAGCAGATCCTCGAAGCTCTTCAACAAGAAGAGGGCCTAGAGGCTGTCGAGCCCGGCGAGATGGACGAAAGCTTGCAGAAGCTGGAGGAAGAGTTGACAGACCCTATTCAAAAGCTGCTCCTTCTCCAGATGAAGCAGCTGCAGATGATGTCTCAACAGCAGTCCATCCGGAAGGGGACCGACCCGATCCAGCAGGCGCTTGGAGGTGGGGGCTCGTCAGAGTCGGCAAGCGCGGCCAGCGGTATCAAAGGATGCCTTGCAAGGGAGGCTTACATCAAAGTCGCTGCCGACCTGGAGCGCCTTAAATTGAAAATTTCTGTGAGCCCTCGTTTGTCTTGGATGGAATTCAGTGCAGTGAGTTTTTTCAGGCTGCGATGAAGGTCGCAGAGCAGAGAGGAGGCCTAGCGTCGTTCGCTCGCCTCTCTCGAAAGCCAGTCCGCAACGCTGACGGACCTCTGAAAGCCAAGTCCGATCTGTGGCCCTGTCCAGTCCCTCTTTGGGGCTGTTGGACAGAGCTCAAGGCTCTTTCTCCAAGGAGGCGCAAGAAACATCGTCTCCTACGCGCCAAGGCACTGGGCCATGCGAGTACCCCGCCACTTCATGCCAGAGCGGGCCACCCTATGAGCCAGCAGCAGGAAAGCATGCTGGAGAGGTTGGAAGATCTGGTTCACTACTTTTTTGAAGTGGGCCCTGTGACCTTGGACAGCCTGGGGCGGGCAGGAGAGAAGCTGAGCCAATTAGGTAAACTTGCTTTGTTAATTCAAACGTCCTCTCACTCTTTTGAGTTTGATGATTTGCATAGTTCTTTAGTTGAAATGCAACCCACCTTAGATCAAACCCAAAATTATAGGACCGGATAACCCCACATGTGAACAACTTCGAAAGATTGAGGCTGCAGGGGTAAAGTGCGGAAGAGTGAGCGTGGGGAAGAGACAGGCGAGACAGATATAAGGCGTGAGGGTCTCTGTGTGTACGTGAGGTGTGTGTTTGTGTGTATGCGCTTGTTCGTCAGCGTGTATCAGTGTGTGGGTGGATGTATGCTGCTTGGTGCTTGTACTAAAGTTGTACTAGAAAGTCGCCAGTTCTCATATTCCAGCTCCACAGATTGCTCCGCGTACTAAAGTTGTACTACAAAGTCGCCAGTTCTCATCTTCCAGCTCCACAGATTGCTCCGCGTACTTAAAGTTGTACTACAAAGTCGCCAGTTCTCATCTTCCAGCTCCGCAGATTCTCCGCGTACTAAAGTTGTACTACAAAGTCGCCAGTTCTCAGCTTCCGGCTCCACAGATGCTGCGTGCCTGGCACGAAATCTGCACATGGAGGTTCACAAAGTGCTGTGCCTGCCACGAAATCTGCGCCGGTGCCCAGCCGACGCCAGACGACGCCAGGGCGTACATCCGACCCCTTGGCAAGCAGCAAAGTGCAGCGCCTGCCACGAAATCTGCGCCGGTGCCCAGCTGACGCCAGACGACGCCAGGGCGTACATCCGACCCCTTGGCAAGCATCGGGCGTGTTGGAGACGTTGTGTGAGTGATGTTGTGTGTGAGATGTTGTTGTGAGAGATGTTGTGTGAGTGATGTTGTATGCGAGACGTTGTGTGTGGGATGTTGTGTGAGAGATGTTGTGTGCGAGATGTTGTTGTGAGAGATGTTGTGTGAGTGATGTTGTGTGCGAGACGTTGTGTGTGGGATGGTGCCCAGCCGACGCCAGACGACGCCAGGGCGTACATTGAGGAAGGAGGGCGGAGGAGGAGCGAGGAGGTGCAGCAAAAAAAACAAGAACCCCACACAACAATGTGGGGAACAGACCAAGCCTGCGAGTGCTGCCCGAGCTTCTACGGAGCCTGCAGATGATGGGCCACAGCAAGTCGAGCCAGTTGTCAGGGTTCCCATGCAATCGTGTGTTTCAAAACCTGTTGTAGCTGACAGGATTAAATGGAAACTTGCACCTTCCTTTGATCCACTCCCGTATCTCAGCGATCCGGTGGTTCGTGAAGCGTACAAGAATCCTGACTGTCTGCGCAGACCCAAGAGCCAGTGGCCTAGCTTGCCGAAGGCGGTTGTTCATGCCGGGCGAGATCAAGTCTTACTGCTGGCTGAAAAGTGGGACAAACTTGGCGCTTGCGCCGTGGCGTGTTCCGCCGTGAAGCCAGTGGAGACGGTGGGCATGTTTGCAGTCCCTAAAGATGCTGATTGGGGCAAGCTGATATTGAATCCCACCGTGATCAATTCAAGGCCCTACCCCTATTCCGTCTTCACCAAAACCTTGGCTCCGGGGTATTTGATGTGCCAGATCCAATTGGCTGACTCCGAACGGTTGCTCATTTCGTCGGACGATTTGTGCGAGTTTTACTATACCTTCAAGGTCAGTCTGAACCGGTCAAAGCGGAATGCCATTGGGGTCAAGTTTGCTGGGCATGAACTTAGGCATTTGGAATGCTTCCCTGCTGCGCTACTTCGCGAAGATTGTTATCTTTGCCTTGGAACGTTGGCTATGGGGGACGCACTTGCTGTCGAAGTAGCCCAGCAGAGCCATTACAACCTCCTGCAAAAGCTAGCAGGTTGCATGCTCCCGCAGGAGACCCTCCAGTACAGGAAGCCTTGTCCCCGGGGACCGGTCTTCGAATTGTTGACAATAGATGACCACATTGGGTTGCAACGGGTTCCTCGAGGTTCGACTTCGTTCGCGGGTACTCGTGATGTTGAAGTTTTTGCAGCAGCTGAGCAGGCTTACAAGGAGGTCAAACTAACAGCGCATCCAGGTAAGAGACAAAGACAAGAAGTGCACGCAACAGTTCTGGGGGCAGAAGTCCATGGGGAACGTGGCCGTGTGTCGGCCCCGCGAGCTAGAGTGGCAGTCCTATGCTACATCACCAGTATCATAGTTTACAAAGGGTTGACCACTCGCAAGATCTTGCAGGGACTTTTGGGGTGTTGGACTCATATATGCCTTTTTCGTCGACCAGTTTTCTCCATTCTAGATCGTGTTTATCATGAAGGTGAGAACTTGCCAGGTGACGTTCCATTCAAGATGTCTCGCCAGTGTTGCAATGAGCTTTTGTTGCTATGCCTCCTTGCACCCACCATGCAGACAGACTTGCGTGCAGAGCCTTGTGATGCCCTGTACATGATGGACGCCTCTCCGGTTGC